GAGAAGGGGAAAAACCAAGCCACCAGGCCCGAGACTTGAACCGTGGTCGGCCATGTGGAAGTCCAGCGCCTTTATCCATCATTGCCACTTGCCGGCCCCGATAAATAAATCTTGTGCCTTAATGACCACGCCACCTGCTGGCCCCGTAGATAAATAAATCTTTTTTTTTTAAGAATTATTTTATTTTAACTTTATTATTATGATCATTATTATTTTCCAGTTTGATCAGAGAGAGACAGAGAGAGAGAGAGGAAGTGAGAAAGCAAGCCACCAGGCCCGAGACTTGAACCGTGGTCGGCCATGTGGAAGTCCAGCGCCTTTATCCATCATTGCCACTTGCCGGCCCCGATAAATAAATCTTTTTTTTTTTCTTTTTTTTCTTTTTGAGAGGTTTTTGCAATAGGGAGCCTGCGCTCGCCAGACAGAGACATAGAGACAGAAAGCAAGAAATCACCCCCCAGAGGGGATGGTCACGCCACAATCTCTTCTCCTCCATTCTCCTCTCGGGATCTTGGGCACGCACGCACACGCGCCTGGCGTGAGTTTTAAGCCACTGGTTCCCCCGATAAATAAATCTTAAAAAAGAAAATTCTTGGGAACCAGCAGTTAGCGTAATGGCTATGTCGCTGGACTCCCACGTAGTCGACCACAGTTCGTGTCCTGGACCCGGTGGCTTAAAACTCATGCCGGGCGCGTGTGCTTGCGTGTCCAAGATCCCGAGAGGAGAATGGAGGAGAGGGGATTGCGGTGTGACCATCCCCCCTGGGGGGTGATTTCTCGCTGTCTCTATGTCTCTCTCTGCCTGGCGAGCACACGCGCCCTATAGTGAAAACCTCCAAAAAAAAAAAGTATAAAATAGAAAATTCTTGCTAGAGAAAGATAAACGGAGAGGGAGAGGGCAGAAGCACCACTGTGGGATGTGGTCATGCCGCAGTCCTGATCCATTTCTCTATCCTCTCAGGACCGGGGGCACACACATATGTATCCAGTGTGTTTCTCAAGTCCCTAGGGTCGGGACTCAAACCTGGTTGGCCACATGAGATCTGACTCCCTTAACCTAGGCTGAGGGCCCAACCCAGCAACTTTTTTTTTTTTTAAGAATTATTTATTATTATTTATTTCTTATAGGTCCTGTGTGCTCACCAGAGAGAGAAGGAAAGTGAGAAAGCAACCACCAGGTCCTGGACTTGAACCATGGTCAGCCATTTGGAAATCTAGTGCTTTAACCACCATGCCGCCTGCTAGCCCCCAGCAGCATTTTTGTCTTTTTAAAGAATTATTTTATTTAACTTTATTTATTTAAATTTGACCAGAGAGGGGCAGAGTGAGTGAAAGAGAAAGAGAGAGAGATGGAAAATGAGAAAGCAAGCCACCAGGTCTGGGACTCGAACTGTGGTCAGCCATGTGGGAGTCCAGTACCCTTAACCTCCACACCACCTACCAGCCCCTAGCAGCTTTTTAAATTTTTTAAATTTATTTTTATTTTTATGTAGCACTTCCCATATGCTGGAGAACTATGCTGGCTGCTCTCCATACCTCTTGTTATTTACCCTTTATGACAACCTTGAGAAGAAGTAGGTGGTATTATCCTCCTTTTCTAGTTGAAGAAATTAAAGCTTACAGTTAGTAAATGTCTGAGCAAGTCTTTTTGTTTTGTTTTGTTTTTTTGAGAAGTTTTTGCTATAGGGTGCGTGCGCTTGCCAGAAAGACACAGAGAGACAGAAGGCGAGGAAGAAATCACCCCCCAGGGGGATGGCCACGCCACAATCCCTTCTCCTCCATTTTCCTCTTAGGATCCTGGGCATGCACGTACACACCCCTGGTGTGAGTTTAAGCCACCAGGTCTGGGACTCAAACCACGGTCGATACATGGGAGTTCAGCAACATAGCCATTACACTAACTGCTAGTCCCAGCAAGTCTTTTTAACTACTTTTTTCTTTTTAAGAATTACTTATTTAACTTTATTTACTTATTTTTAATTTGACCAGAGAGTGACAGAGAGTGAGAGTGAGAGAGGGAGGAAAGTGAGAAAGCAAGCCACCAGGTCCGGGACTCAAACTGCAGTTGACCCTGTGGGAGTCCAGCGCTCTTAACCACCACACTACTGCTGACCCCTCAACTCCTAAGCCTTGCCTGTCTTCACAACTAAAAACTGCCTTCCAAAGGTGATTAAAAAACTGCTACCACAGAGGTCAGATGTGTTCTAGCCTGAGATCCACGCAAAAAATTAATGATGGTAGTGTGAACTTTTCCCTCTTCGGTGGTCTTGTCAGGCTGGGTGTCTCTGAGCATTGGCCTTCAATGGTCACCCAGGCTTGGGCCCCATGGGGCAGCCAGCTGAATGTTTTCAATCTTCAAAAGCCTGATTTAACTAAAGTGGGCCTCTCTTTGCCCTCTCTATCATGGTGTCCACTGATCACCGTGATAGCAGGTCTGCCTGTCCCTAGCTAATTCTGAGAATCATTGACAAGCCGGGTAGTAGGTCTTCTGACCAGAACAGAACTGTGTGGGCTGGTGGGGGAGGGACGTTGGATGAGATTGTTCTTTCCCATGTTCTCAGACTCAGGTATTATGTAGGCTCAGGGCCCTGCTCAGAAGGTCTTTTATTTCTTGTGCTTTTTTTTTTTTTAAGGATTATTTTATTTAACTTTTTCTTTCTTTTTTTTCTCTCTCTTTCTTTTTTATTATTTATTTAAATTTGACCAGAGAGGGACAGAATGAGAAAGTGAGAAAGCAAGCCCCCAGGTCTGGGTCTCGAACCGTGGTTGGCCATGTGGGAGTCCAGTGCCCTTAACCACCACACCACCTACCGGCCCCATCCTGTGTTCTGGTTTTAGCCCTGTGAAATCAAAAGAGGTTTTCCCCTCCAAAGTATCAAGGCCATTGCTCTTTCTGTCTAGTGCGCCGCAGAGCTCTACATCCAGAACGTGCCCTGGACAACCACAGTGACAGCGAAGAGGAGCTTGCTGCCTTCTGTCCTCAGGTATCTTGAGTATGGGAGCTGCTTCACTACCAGTTTTCTTGTCTGGCATTTCACATTTAGGCAGTACCAGGTTTCAAACTCATCATGGGCTCTCCGAGATGTCCCTTGCTTCCAAAGGCAGTGAGGAGGAGAGAAACTAGTGTTATATTGGGATTTTGCGCCTAGATCTGTTTGAACTTGGGATCAGCAATCTCTTGTGTCTGTTTATTTAGTTTTTAGTGTTTACTATAAGGGAGCATGTGCTCCCAGAGAGAGAGAGAAAGTGAGAAATCACCCTCTGGGTTGGCAGGTGTGGGGGATGGCCATGCTGCAGTACCTTCTCCTCTATTCTCCTCTTGGGATTTTGGGCATGTCTGTACATGTACCCGGTGTGTTTTTCAAGCTGCTGGGTCTGGGATTCAACTGCACAGTCGGCTATGTGGGAATCCAGCTATCTTAACCTCCATGGCTCCCAAATGATCTTTTTTTTGAGAGATTTTTGCTATAGGGCCTGTGCGCTCACCAGAGAGACAGACAGCAAGTGAGAAATCACCCCCCAGGGGGGATGGCCATGCCACAATCCCCTTTCCTCCATTCTTCTCTCGGGATCTTGGGCATGCATGCCTGGCATAAGTTTTAAGCCACCGGGTCCGGGACTCAAACTGTAGTCAACTACATAGGAGTCCAGCGACATAACCATTATGCCATCTGCTGGTTCCCGAAGTGATCGTCTTTTAAACAGACCAGTCCACCCCAGTCTGGCAGTATACAGTGTCTTGGCTACCTGGGAAAAGTAATCTCTGTATCATTTATTTGCTTAAGAATGAATGGCTAATTAACACCTAAGATTGCTTTTCTTTCTATGCTCAAGAGAGACTAAAAGGAGTCGAGATTTTTAACTGAAGTCCCTTTCTGTCCCTGTTTACACTGATGGCTGTAGGGTAACCTTCAGGGCTGGATAATTTGTAAAGCTATGTGGGGATTGCACTCAGTTTCTAATAACTTCATCTCCTCAGGCTTATCATTTTTTTCTTCTCCTAAGCTGGATGATTCTACTGCTGCCAGGGAGTTGGCCATCACAGACTCTGAGCACTCAGATGCTGAGGTCTCCTGTACAGACAACGGCACATTCAATCTTTCAAGAGGCCAAACACCTCTAACAGAAGGCTCTGAAGGTGAGGGGAACCTTGACCTGAGTCGATAATGAGTTGCCTCTCAATCAGCTTCTCTGGACAGAGGAGCTACTAGTACTCCCTTCTCTTGTTTTCTGAGCTGTGGATTAGGTGGCAGAGTGCCCAAGGGGTGTCAGTACAGAGGAATGGCACTGACACTACTGTTCTTTAAGTTTTCTATAGCGCACGTGCACTTACTAGAGAGAGGCAGAGAGACAGGAAAAGTGAGAAATCACCTCCCAAGGATAACCACACCACAATCACTTTTCCTCTGTTCTTATCTCGGGATTCTGGGCATGCATGCACATGTGCCTGGCGTATCTTTCAAGCTGCCAGTGTACTGTCCAGTAAGCCATGTGGGGTCTAGACACCATAATCACTGTCATCAAGCTGGCCCCTTGATGACATATATGATATATATATATGTGTGTGTGTGTGTGTATGTTGTATGTGTGTGTGTGTGTGTATATATATATATATATATATATGTGTATATACCTTTTTTTTTTTTTTGAGAGGTTTTTGCTATAGGGTGTGTGCACTCGCCAGAAAGACAGAGAGAGACAGAGAGATAGAAAGCGAGAAATCACCCCCCAGCGGGGATGGCCACACCGTGGTCCCTTCTCCTCCATTCTCCTCTTCGGATCTTGGGCATGCATGACACACGCCCGGTATGAGTTTAAGCCACCAGGTCCGGGACTTGAACTGTGGTCGACTACATGGGAGTTCAGCAACATAGCCATTACACTAACCGCTGGTCCCATATATGTATATATTTTTAATTGCCAGAGGACGTGTGTACTCGACAGGGTTGGGTGGGGAGGGTGGAGAAATCACCCTCCACTGGGGCATGGTCATGTCACAGTCCCTTCTCCATCTCTCCATCCTGTAGAAATCTGGGACATGCACATGGACACACCTAGCAATGTTTTTCAAGCTGCCAGGGCCAGGATCTAGACCCTGGTTGACCATCTGGAATTGGGCTCCCTTAACCACTAAGCTGTAGTGCTGGCCCTGCCGCTCTTCTTAAAGCCTGCTTAGAGCCTCAGGCTCTCACCTCATCAGGACAGGGTAGAGGAAGAGAGAGGGAGTTCTTTGGAGAGTGGAGATCACAGCCGCCTGTAGATGAAGGGGAAAAGCTAACCAGAACCATGGGTTTTGCTTCACCCTGAGAAATCCATGGTGAAAAAAGTATGGTTATATGGGTTTTTTTGTGGAGCTGGAGCTCAGGAGGTCCAAGAAACTGCCATGTCTGACACCCCTGTATTCTCCCAGACCTAGATGGTCACAGTGATCCAGAGGAATCCTTTGCCAGAGACCTTCCAGACTTCCCTTCCATTAATGTGGATCCTGCTTGCCTGGATGATGAGGACGACACCAGCATTGGGATGCCCAGCTTGGTGTACCGTTCCACACCTGCAGCTGAAGTGCCCCGGGCCTCGGCCCCAGCCTCTGGCAGCCGGGATGAGGCTGCACTGCCAGAGCTCCTGCTTGGTGCCCTGCCTGTAGGATCCAACCTTACCAGCAACCTTGCCAGCCTGGTCTCCCAGGGTATGATCCAGCTGGCCTTGTCAGGGGCCTCCCAGCCAGACCCTTCTGGCCCACCTCCCCGGAGGGCAGCCAGAGGCTTTCTCCGTGCCCCCAGTTCAGACCTGGACACTGACGCTGAGGGGGATGACTTTGAACTTCTGGACCAGTCGGAGCTGAATCAGCTGGACCCTGCCAGTTCCAGGAGCCACTGAGGCAGAGATTGCTTTTGAGGGTCACTGTGGTTTAGGGTTTTTTTCTCCCCTTCCCACTTAGGGTGACAGGGCAGAGAAGAACCCAGGTCCCATCCCCTGAATTACATTTTTATGCTGGGTGGCCTAGCTGATGCTCACAGGGCTGCTAAGAGAGGATCCTCACTCCCCACTACCAGCTGGACACCCATTTCTGAGCTCAGTCACAGAAGTGAGCGTGCTCCCCCAAGGGAGGCTTCTCTTCCATCAGGATGGTACTTTGGGGAACGAAGTAGTCAGGGATATTGGTTCCCCTTCAAGAAGTGCTGCTGTTTGCTTTTAGGTGTGGGTGTTTAGGGGCCCTCACTGATAGAACTCATCCCTTCCTCCCTCCCTCCCTTCCTCCCTTCATCACCTCCCTAGAGCCCCAAAAGTCAGGCAGCAGCTTGAAGAGTTACATTGTCATCTTCTGTCCAACCAGGATTTGACCTTTTTTTTTTTCTTCAAGAGCAGGTTTGCCCTTTGGCTTGGCAGGCCACCTCCCTCTCCTCTAGCCTATCCCCATTTCTTGAGGCCTGACCTCCAGTGCTCCATTATATTGCTTGTGAAATTTAAGAAATGTGAATATGATGTGGGGATAGGCCTATTCCACATCACCTTGGACCATGGGGGTCAGCTGGCTGGGAGGGTAGTGAGTGCCTGTGTCTCAAGGTCTCACCAAATCTTCGAGAGCTGTGTGGTTGTCTTTGGTGCTGTTAACCCCTGGCTCCATCTGACCATCAGCCTGAGCAGTGAGCAAAGCAATACCATACCCATTTCTATGTTCCTGTTCCTTCCCCTGCTTCTCCTTTGGAGAAGCAATAATTCCATGGGGATGGCCAAGTAGCACTTTACAGATGGCTCCATGGCATTCATCCTAGGAGCCATCAGTTCTTGCACCAGCTTTTCTAACACCCCGTTCAGCTCTTTTACAACATTTATTTTTTATTGCTTCCCAACTTGGCAGGGCCTCATTTAAAGAGGGCCCAGTTAGCAAGGATTTGTCCATTATTAGCAGAGACCCTTCCCTATGGGGTTTGTGGCCCTAGTAAAAATCATGTACACCGAATCCCCCATGTGGTAATTCTAACCCTGTGCCAGTTTATAGCCTCTCTCTGCCTCTCCAATCAGAGCTCAAGCCAAACTCTTGTATCCTCTTCCCCTTTGCATCAACCCTTTCCTGATCCTCAGGGACCACTCTCCCAACACCCCCATACTTGGGTGAGGGATATTGGACAGAGCCCATTTTCCTGTGCTGCAGGTGGGGGTGTGCTAATGTTTGCTCTTGGATGATGGACAAGGCACAGAGGCCAGGGAGTGGAAAGTTAACACTGAGAAGGGAGACGAGCTGTCTCATAGTCAACTTACCTCTGTGTGAAGGTCAGGGGTAATGGCGTCCTCCACTTTAGGGTTCTCAAACAGACTTTAGACACCGGCTCTCTTCTCAGAGCCCAGCTGTCTTACAGGTGAGCTCTGATGTGGAAAATATGGGAGATGTGGGAAATGAGTGGGGTTTTGTGTGTTGCATGAGTGTGTGTAGCTTCAGACCTTGGGAATTGCCAAGAGGGAGGGAAGGAAAGAGCAAAATCTTTGAAAGGTGTTTCTTATACCTGGGGGATCCTGCTCTGAATCTCCTTAGTCCTCCACTGTGAATTGGGGGTGGGTGGGTGCTGGGGAATAAATCTTGTATGAGAACGATCTTGTAAGAGACTGATGTTGATTGGTATCCTACCCTTGCTAAGTCTTTTGTTAATCAGAATTCTAATTCATTTGAGCTGACAGCCTCAGAATGATGACTCACCTGCCCACTTTTTTCCTCTGATGACCAGAATAATCACCTTAACATGAGCCCAGGAGTGAAGATAGCTGACACTTTTTTTTTTTTTTGCTATAGGGCGTGTGCGCTCGCAGAAAGACAGAAATCAAGAAATCACCCCCCTCCCCCAAACTCCCCCTCTTCCCTCCTCCCCACCCCACCCCCGGGTGGTGGTGGCGGGGGCGGAGATGGCCACACCGCAATCCCTTTTCTTTCATTCTCCTCTCGGGATCTTGAGCACATATGCACACACGCCTGGTGTGAGTTTAAACCACCGAGTCCGAGACTCGAACCGCGGTGGACTATATGGGAGTCTAGTGACATAGCCATTGCGCTAGCTGCTAGCCCCCTAGATAACTGGCACTCTTGTGGCTGTCAGTTAGCTTGCAGTTCCATCATTTTAAAGTTTTAGTGTTATCCCCTAAACATTCAGAGACAAGCACCCCTCAAAGGTTGAGGTTTTAGGTAGCAGAAGGCTTTAAAAAGCACCACGCACCTCCACTGGGTGGTCTCAGCTTCAGGGACAGCTGCTCTTTGGTCTTCAAATGACCTCAGAAACTAGAAATAACTTATTTCAGGCTCTGTTCCGTTGGCCACTGTGGTCAGGAGTGGAAAGCACCTGCCAGCTGTTGCCTTGAGGGCTAACAAGAAACAAGTTCTGTGGCTTAAGAGTAGCCACCTCCCCAGCCTTTCCTTTTCGATGCACAGCAGGTACTGGGCGCCCCCTTGTGTGCGAAGCTTGGTAACAAGAGCAGTGTTGGGCTCTACGACGCTCACGTTTTCCGTTCAGCTTTTACGACCACCCTCCTCTAAGAATCTATTCCTATACTACAAGTGATAGAACTAGCCGACGAAAGAGCGCGTACGATCACGACACGTCCCTGTGGGTAACTAGCCCTGCGACCTTGAGCTAGGCGCTGGCCCCGTGTGACTGACCCCTGAAGCCTCTTTCCGTCCCAACGCTCCCTAGCGCAAGATCACTGGTGCTCAGCCGCGGCTGAACCTGGGCCTTGAAACTTGAAGGTGCGTTTTCATTACAGCCTTCGTTTGGAGTAAGACGGAAGGCGAGCTTCAAAACCCTGCGCCAGCCGCCGCTTGCGCTCAGCCCCCGGCTCCGGGCGGACGCGAACTACGGCATCCGAGAAGGATGGCGCCATTGTTCCCCTATGAGCCAATCACAGCTTGAGGCCCCTCCCCGCTGCCGGAAGGAGCCGTTGTCCGGAGCAACTGCGACGTCCGGCTTTCCGAGTTTGCGGGCGGGAAGGTGTGCGAAAGAAGGCCATGAGTAAAGGGCGGGCGGAAGCCGCGGCGGGAGGTAACGGCGGCTTGGGCGCGGGGCAGGCCCGGGAGGTGAGGGAGTGGGCGAGGAGGGCGGCCGAGTGACCCTCCCCTGCGCCCCTCCTCACAGCCGCCGGCATCCTCCTGAAGTACCTGCGGGAGGCGAACCGGGCCTA